CCCCCTCCCCCGCCCCTCCAAAAAATGAACGTAGTCATATCCTGTGACAGACCTAGATAAGATAAATGATTTGCAACTCAGCAATGAAGCTAGCTTAGCACCTTGAAGCTCTGCAAAAGGTTGAACTTTTGAAATTAAACGCCCATCTCCTAAAGGACCGAGATAAGCAAGTGAAGGGCCATGAAAACACTTTTAAAGCAAGAATTTTGTGTTGAGGATTCAAATCGGGATTGTTCACACAAAGACCAGCATGGTACAAACAGAAACACTGGCGTGTCTTGAAAACGGAATGTTTAAAAAAAAGAAAAGGTTGGTTTGGAACTCGCACAGTTTACTCTCAAGAGGAGGGAGGGGGTATGTGTTTGCTTATGTGAATCTGTGAGATTGGAACGGTAAGATGGAATGTATTTGTGTATAGTGCTTAAAAGAAACTGCAGAAAGGACACTGCTATTTTTTAAAAAAGAAACAAGATCTCTGTTGGAAATCAGTAAGTGGCTTGGGTTCGGTTCATTATTGATGTAAAGGAACGGCTCAGATTTAAGGTGGGTGGTCACAGAGGAGTTTCCTTGAGCAAGACATGGCTATGTAAGCTCAGCCAGAAAAAAAATGAGGTGACTAATAGCAGGGGCGTGTTTTGTAACATTCTGTGACATTTTGTGACACCAGATTACCTTCATTTTTACTTGAAAAGTCTTTATGCCAGTGCAATCAGATTTTTATTAAACAAACAAATAATGTGCGATTGTTCACTTGGATGAAAAGAAAAACATCGACAAAACAACGTCATTTAGGTACAGGGAAAATATAAGACAGGCAGACGAACAGAAACAACAGAAGGAGAAAAAAAGAGGCAGAATGTAACTGAAGCACCCTCCAAACACCTACAGGAAAAATTGTTAAGTACGGTCGAAACTTTCCAATATGGCCACCCACTATCGATGAGAAAAGAGGTCGTCTTAGACAGTTATCATTTTTAAAAAATTATGCACTAGGGAAGAATTATACAATG